TATGTATATATATATATATATATATATATATATATATATATATATAAGTCAATTAGCTGGTCAAAAAATTGGGAAGTACGGGGAAATAAGCGTCGAAGAAATCACGACAAATCATTAAATAGTATGCGCAACATCCACTTCACAGTCAAATACAAGTTTGATAATATGGTCATAAAAAAGTGGACGCCGTTTTTCCTCATTCTTATAATTCTGCTCTCGCAAGTTATTTTATAGCGTGGTACCAGCTACCTACCAGATGACTTATGCGAGTTTGAACTTATGCCTCTCCCAGCTCCAGAACAAGCTAGAGAACGCCTTGAAGAGTCTCTCAGAGAATCTGGATCAATGGACTCAAAGTCATGCCCTTCTTTCCCAGAACTATACGAGAATTTGGCTAGGGCTGGTTACGATCACAGAATTTTCGCTAGATTCATTATTGTAAGTCAAGTTCTTTGGATGATTCTATGTTTATAAGAAATACTTATGGTTATCTGCACTGATCAGGATCTCATTGACCTCATAAGATCTCATGAGGAAGTGAACATTGCTGTTGCCGTTATCTTTGATGCTGTTACTAGATGCCGATTGAAGGTATGGGGCTTATTTTGTGCCCTTCATTCATCTAGAAAGCCATACAATGTGAATATCAATAACTCATATTCCAGGTAGTGGTAGAACATGGATGCACAGTTATTGATGAGCTTCTTTCACATGAACATTCTGGAAAACACTTCTTTTATCTAGTTGAATGTAGCTACTGCTGGGTGCGTTATTCCTTTTTAAATAATCAGATTTACGTTAACAAGCATATTGTAGGCTATGAATCAGCTAACTGATAAAAGCTCCCAATGTCGCACTTTATCGATATCTCGGATCTTATGGTCCGCTTGTGAGAAATCTCGCGATCTGATGGAAATTTTCTTTGAGGTACATATTTCTGTCCACTTTTGAACATGATAATTTTCAAACGTACTCATCCTCATTTTCGTTGTGCATATTTTCAGTCTTGTCGGTCTACACTTAATGATTCAGCGCTAGACTCTAAAGTGCATCAACGGGTGCTCAAAACCTTGAAGCTATTTGCTTCAAAAGCGGATTGCGGTAAGTTTCAAACTATTTAGTCCACCTTTGTAAGACAAGTCTTGGAATCTTCGTTTTATTTCAAGCTTCTTA